AAAATACAAACGTATTGCTAACCACCTTCTCTTTGAAGTCGATTGGAAATAAAAGCACTGACTAATTTGAATCAGCTGTTATGAATAATTACTGGATATAGTGAATAATTTATCACATTGTCTAGACAGTTTAGTCGTATAAAGACCATTCATTATGTACAATAGCTATTTAATCACTATGGCTATAATATATTTAAATAAAATAACAATTTATATGATATAAGTAATTTATTACAACATTAGGTAATGCTATTTTGTGTCTATTGAAAATACACTAATAAAAAAAAGGCACGGCTGTTTTCCAAATATTTCTGGGGGCACACTATCTAGATATTATTTATCTATATACTCGTTATAGTCACCAGAGGGAGACTTTGTACAAAAGTCGTTTGCTTGGGCACCTCTGTCCCATTCGTGTTTTTACCGTGAAGTAGTTGTGTTTTGCATGTTTCAATTTAAAGGATGGGATATGGCAGTGAATTTACAGGGTACAGAGGAATAACACAGTCTTCAGGAATGGCAACGCATGAGAGTATCATGGGCAGCTCATGTCTATAGGCGACGGTTACCATTTTACAACAAGTGGACCGTCAGCTTGTTTGCTATTCTAAGTTATATAAAAAAATAGTCAGCCAACATATTCCGATCACATAAAAGAAGTCGAGGGTAAAAGTAAGAAGTAACATAACACAGTTTTGAATATCATTTCTGTAAGTTTTAAAATAAATTAAAAGAAAATAATATTATATTTTTGTATCCTCTAAAAAAACTTCCTTTGGTTAACATTTTCGGCATCATTATTTAGTAATAAATTGCTCTTATTTTTTGACAGGAGTAATGTAATAATGCAATAGACAAGACCGTGTCGGGTAACCTACTCGTATTCGGGCAGTCGTATTTCTCTAACTTTTTTTTATTTCATAAAATTCCGCTTCGCACAAGTAAATAGATAGAAATATAAATTCGTATTTTATATTTTCGTATTTTGATATCTTGGAATACATTTTTTTTTTTGTTCATAAGAATCTTTATTTTTTTTTAAATAATATATAATTCTATATTAGTCGATATAATAATGTAGCTTTTATAAAAAGATGAGAAGAATATTTAAAATATGTTAAGTACTTTCTGAGTTTATCCTTTACAAACAATCAATACTTTCCCCTTTATATATATATATATCGTATTTACATAAATAAAACTGTCAAGATATTTATTATTTATACCACATCGTGTCGGATTTCAATAATTAAGATGTTGTTTACATTCTTCTTATTGTAAATATATATACATATGTATATATCAACCTATTGATTTGAGTATAAATTAGATCGATATAGTAAGCTATCCTTAAAAGATAGACATATGCCATTGGACTTTTTTGTAGACCTATAAAAGAGAAGTGATCCTAACATAGATTGTTTTGTTATATGTATCTCAAATGAATCAGGCAGCGTTTTCGATGAAAGCTCTTAGATGGCTGGATTTTTTCTGAAATCTTTCATAATCATCATCATATTGCAACCAATTAACACAAAACCTTAACTAATTATAAACCTTTCTCAAGAATTACTCTATTAAGAAATGAAAACCGTATAAAAGTCAGTTAAGTAGTTTTTGAGATCATCGCTCACATATATACAGACGGACATGCAAGAGGACTATAATACTAAAAAGACAACTGAACAAATTTGGCTAAATTATAAGACCCGTTTTAGCATTTCGACAACAGATCCCTGAAAATTGATGACAGTAATCAAATATTCCCAATAAAAAATAAGTTAATTAAATTTTAGAATCTCTATTATATGAAATAATATAACATTCAAGATAGGTGATAGGGGGGGGGGGGATTTTTAGTAATTACCAATCTCATTGTTAGTTCTTGTCAGGTCGATCTCCGTGTGATCCCCCTAGAAACCTTCGTGTTGAATTCCAGCTGTATTCATCATGAGGTGCTAACTATTGCTTTTTCAGTCTCACTCATCCCTCACTGGTGGCCTGCCAGCGTATATAGTTAGCAAAGGCGGGATTATCATCCTGTTATAATCCACAAAAAACTACCGTGTTTCGGTTTGGTTGAATATGGAAGAGAAATTTGAAGATACGAAGGTATAACAATTTAATCCTCAAGAATGCTAACGCAGAAGAGATTCTATGGAGTTATTTTTGGTACTGCTATGACAACGATTACCACTTTCCATAAAGTATACCATACGCATGTGTGCTAATCATCATAAAAAAGACACTTCATTTATAATCATACAGAATCCGGTTAGGTACATGTTAAACAAAAAAACCACTAACAACTAATTTCGTATTTTTTACTAATTAAAATTAAAATACTTTATGAAGGGGAAATGTCAATCATAAATCACGGTACATTGAACTTCTTAATAGGCCAAATACATATTGAGAGAATCGAACATACTCGTACGTTCTAAGGTATCATACCGCGTCCAATACTCAAAGGATTTCACAAATCAACATAACACGTTAAAATATATCCAATGGTGTCTTAAAATTGATTAAGGTACGATGAGACTGACGTGCTTAAAAGGACAAAAGTCCCTAAATAAATAATATAAAAAAAATATACCACGCTGTATTTACTACCACAGATTATTATTGGTATATGTCACTATCAACGATATTTTTGTTTTGCATGGTCTTAAAATTTTTCATTAATAATGAAAATTAATTTTTTTTTATTTATTTTTGTTCTCGTAATATCCTGCTATAACGAAATATTTAATTTTAATTCAGAATACTTTTAGACGTAACTTAAGGAAGAGACTTTGTTCATATCAGTATTTTAAAGTATCCAAATTTGTATTTAGAATATTTAAAATCGACGAATGTCCATAATCAAATTTTTTATATCTATTTTTAGGAAAGGATTTTAAAAAATATTATTTCATTAGCTCACATCTAGTGCGCAAAGAATATATATTTAGCGCAGATATGATTTTCAGATCACTATTAGTTCTTTTTGTAAATAAGCGTTATGTTAGTTCCTTTCAGTTTTTCCTATTCACTTTGTGAATTTAATAAATAAATCGTAAATGAAATTAATTTCACGAAAGTGTTTTTTTTTTTCTTTTTGGTATGTGTTAGGAAATTAGAGATTGACACGTAAAATTGTTGATAAAATTCTGCGTTAAAGCTAGTTTTATACCATTAGTTTCGCAACGTACAGCCGGCTTTACTACGTAATAGTGTTATTAGATTTCCTCTGATATTATGTGCTGCTAATAGCTCCTACCTGACTAAAGACTGAAATTTGAATAAGAAACATTAGAGCTAAAAATAAACACTACAATTATTTTAATACCTATATTAATGATCAATGTTGACCTAATCTAGATTTTACAACCAAACGATGCACATATGTGCATCGTTTAATGAATAATGGATCACACACTCAGGATTTTGAAAGTCCGTAACATCCGACATAATTGTGACACGTAGTTAGAAACATTTTGTTTGCAACGGGCTTTAAATTACATTTTTTTTTTCTTTACGAACGAGTTGTTTTTATTGTCATTAAATAATGACAAAAACTTCAGTTAATAAATTATCTTTAAAATTAATTGTTGATTCATAGTTCAAGTGTTATTAACTATAATTATTTAGTACTCATATCTTCGATGAAATTTTTTATCAGAAACTTCCAATTTTCACTTTATTTTTTAATTTAAAAAATAAATTAATAATGTATCATCATAGCCTATTGTCAAATCTATGGAATTAGACTCTTTCTTGTGGAAGTATAAGAGATTGTGCCCCATTATAAGAAAATATTTGAAAGTTATTAAAAAAGAAATTGATCGACTTTTATGTAGCATGTATCATGGCCAATGAAAGAAGCAGGTAAACTATACAAAACTTAATTGCAATACATAAATTAATACATACTCGTCTCGTACAGTACACATGTATTAGACATGTAAAAAAAATTTACCGTATAATAAGCAGCGTTTCCGAGGCACCGTTAGTGTTACCAACTTAAAAATAAACTTCACGTTTAACCAAAGATGTCCATATTGTGGACATAGGGATTTTTATCATCTACTCTGGCTGCATAACGGACAAAAGCTTATATGTACAGAAGGCACTAGACAATTGTATTCCTCAAGCCCTTCTAAGAAGGTGGGTATAAACTCGCACAGCGTGGATTGTTCCAGTCAGTTGCTGTGACTTCCCATCGTCCAAGAAAGTGAGGGCGTGTTTATGGTGTCACAAATCATTTTGCTACATGTGCGGACGACGGTGGTAAAACATAAGTACATGCGTTAGAATATGTGGATTAAGGAGGAATGACCACAGATAAAAAATGTTTTAATTTTTTTTTTTTGAAGTAATCTCTTTTTGCATAAGCGGATATAATAATCAGTTTCTTGATATAAAGTTTTATATAATTTTCTAATATCTCGAATATTTAATTTAAGTTAGTTTAAGGACACCAGCTTTTACCTGCAACTTCGATAAAAGTTGCCTGTATTTTTTAGTAGTATTTGTATACCAAAATTTTTAAAGTTCACCCGTTAAAACAAACAAACAAACTCACTTTCATTCCGAGTTATCCTTACCCAAAAATTTGATTTGTTTTTTTATTATTCCTTAATTATTACGGCGAGTAGTGTAAGGATTTGTAAATTTTGGTTTTATAGCTATATTTACATATTGCTTTTTAATATTTTCTTGCATTATTTTTGTCTACTTACTACTGCCTATGTTACTGTGTTAGGTTGACGTGTACGACGAAAAATTCACTTTGATTAGGCATTGGTAATATCGCCCTAATATCTGTATATTGAGTTCCTGGACATTGGTGACTGGAAAAGGCCATTCCAGGCAATATCGTATTGTTCCCAAATATAATCTTTACTATATTTTTGAGCAAAATAAAAATTATTGTAATAATATCATTGTTTTTTTTTATTAATAATCGATTATATTAGAGGAAAGTGACCAAATATGGGATAGTATCCCTAATATGGAATATCAGCATTTCTCTCAAACGGTAACTCACACACCCAATAAACAGTGATTGTCTCTCTCTTTCTATCCCTATTCGCGCGTACAAAGTGGAGCGTCTCAGTCGAGCGAGCTCTTTCGTCGTTGTGACAGTGTTTTGTTTTGTCGCTACCGCATAACTTTCTAAGATATGTAAACAAATACGTATTTTTCATACAAAACGGGCACACAGTATTATTTTGATAGCTTCTAGAGATCGTTTAGATGTTTTTTTGTAAGTTTTAGCGGGGTATTTAATTGTATTACTTGCTTAAACATAAAAGTATGAATGTCAGTTTGAAGTTATTGGAAAATCCAAATATGGACAGATCATTGTATCTAATTATGGACTATTCCATAATTGGCTCCCTTAAGTATCAACTGATTTGATGATTTTGTTAATTATAAATTTTTCATGTTTTATCAGAATGGCGGGTGTCAATAAAATAAAGCGAAAAGAATGGAGTTCAGAGCATATGACGGAAGCTATAAAATTAGTAAGAGAGAAAAAAATGGGTTATTTGAGAGCTGCAAAACACTTTGATGTGCCTAGATCTACCTTGTTTCGATTATGCCAGAAAAACGAATTACCCCCAGAAGAAGCTGCCACTACTGCACTTGGAAGGAAAACTGTCTTAGGGACAACCCTTGAAAATCTTTTGGTAGACTACATTTTGACGATGGACAGCAAATTTCATGGCTTGACGAGAAATGATGTTCGAAGAATGGCGTACATGTTAGCAAGACGTAATCAGCTGGAAAATTCATTTGGTAAAACTGGAATGGCTGGAAAAAAATGGCTTAAACTATTTTTAAAACGCCATAAGAAAAAGCTATCAGTGAGAAGACCAACTGGCACGTCTTTTGCAAGAGCATTTGGATTCAGCAAAGAAAAAATGGACTCATTCTTTGATCTCCTCGAAGGCGTCTATGTTCAAGGAAACTATCGTCCAAATCGCATATATAATGTTGATGAATCTGCCATTGCCAATTTAAGAACACCTGATGGATGTGTGCCTTTAACTGAAGCTTTCACATCTAGACAAGATACAAATACTGAACCTGTACCCTCAACTTCCGGACTTTCTGGTAGTAGTTTAGGATTAGTGTCTCCATATGAAATCAATCCAGTACCAAACAAGAAAAGGAAACCTTCTAATCGAGGAAGAAAAGCATCTGTTGCATCAGTCATCACGTCTTCACCTTACAAGAATGATCTGATAGACAAAAACAAAAAAAAAAGAAGAAAAAGAAAACAAATTGGCAAAGAATAAGAATAAAAAACAGAATGAAAAGAAATTAAAAGGAAAAAAGGTAAAAGAGAAGATTAAGCCTAAGTCAGATTCAGGTGATGAGGAGATGGTGTTGCCTGATACAGACAGTGGGCCTGATGCCTTGATAGGATATACCGCTCCAGACTCTGAAGATTCGGAGTGTATTTTCTGTGGTACGCTGTTTTCGAATGATACTCATGGGGAAACATGGATCAAGTGCCTCATGTGTGGGCTCTGGGCACATACTGATTGCGCGGGGCCAGAGTCTGATACCTGGATTTGTGATTTTTGCAAATAATTTATGTTCTTTTCTATGTTGTACCAAAGTTTTCAAAGAGTTTCATATAAGTTAAGGTTAAGTTTGATAATTTTTATAGTATTCCATATTTGGGGTACCTATTCCATATTTAGGTACCTTCATCATTATTTAGTTCTTGAAAAAGTTTCGTACTTAAAACTAATTAATATAAACAAAAATTGTTACATAATAAAAAGTAAATATATGATTGTTAATAATTACCATATAAAGTTTTTTATTTACAACATTTGTGCAAATTATGCGTAAAAAACAAAATGGTATTCCATATTTGGTCACTTTCCTCTATACTAATGAATGTGGAAGAAGCGAAAGAGGTTTGTTTAAATCGAAGCATTTGGCGTTCTATTGTTTCTGCCTACCCTAATGGGAGACAGGCGTGACAGATATGTATGTATGTATGTATATTATACTAACTTTTATCCGCAACTTCGTTTGCATGACCGAAATATGTTTATTGGTCAGGACAATAAGTAGCCTATATCTTTCTTCATACAATGCAGTATGTGTATACCAAATTTCAAATTGGTAAGTCAAGCCATTAAGGAGCAATTACGTAACAAACAAATTCACTTTCACATTTATAATTTCAGTTAGGGTTACCTTTATTATAATTATAAAATATAATCAATTATTTGTTTATTTATTGTATTAATTCAACTGTCATTTAAGGTAATCGATAACCAATGGTTATTAAGAAACACCAGTGGCAAGTCTACCTTAATATATATTCCATATACTGCTATTAAGTCCATTTCCGAACTCTTATGGCTATAGAATATTAATTATACAAGTTAAAAATTAGGCGCCCATGATGTTTTATAATTTAATGGCGCATATTTCAATAGAAATGTAGCATCGCGTTGCACATAATTTATGACAACCTTTAAGAGAAATTTTTCGAAGTTTCTTTAGAAGAAGCTGTTTTTTAAAGTAAAAGCAAAATTATGTACTACAGCTTTATTACTAATATTATATATAAATGGATAACAATTAATTTATTTAACCATAAAAACATTAAAACGAAGAACCATCCAAACATTTTCACAAATTTTCGTATTTAAATGGTTATTCATTAAGCAATAGGATTAATAAATAGAATCTTCTTACTTCTCACTAATATAATAAAATTTTAATTAGACGATGTCTGTACATAAAAGATATTTGTTTTGTTTTGGCATCACGCCGAGGTTTTCCCAAGAGACTACAGCATGGGGTCCTTCAAAAGGGGGGATAAAGAGGTTTCTTCAGGGTTTTTTTATACAACTTAGAATGGCAAAGAAGCTGACGACCCACCTGATGTAAAGTGGTAACCGTCGCCTATAGACATGAGCAGTACCATGGACATAACAGAGTATACTGTTTCGCCCATGATATTCCCCATGCGTTGCCATTCCTGAGGACTCAGGTGTTATTCCTCTGTATCCAGTAAATTCACGCCATATCCCACCCTTCAAACCGAAACACAGCCATGCAAACACAACTGTTTCACGGTTGAAACACGAATGGGACAGAGGTACTCAAGCAATCGACTTTTGTACAAAGTCTCTCTGGTTGGCAAAGCGCGCGTAATACCTCTGGTATTGCAGGCATTTATAGGCTACGGTAATCGCTTACCATGAGGTGGGCCATATGCTTGTTTACCACCTCAGTGGTATAAAAAAAACGCTAAAACAACTCCACAAAATTAGATGCGGTTTTTACAGTTGCATTTTTTAAAGTCAAACTTACAAACTGGTGCATGTTTAATTGCATCTTGATACACCATCTAGAAATAGTCATTTTCAGTTAGTTTTCCTTCTTCCGAAATCCACACCTAAGAACTAGTTAAGCAAGTTACTTGCTACATAAGAAAAAATGCGTAATCAGAGATTAATAAACGTTCTACTGACATTTACAACCGAACATGTTTTTTCTTTATTATTATCATTCTTTACTGCATTTACATATAATTCTACGTGAATAACGTAATTCTATTATGTAGTAGAGTTGCCGGCACAGCACTGTTTTAGATCAAAATGTATGCCACCGTTAGTAGGTGCATATATTTAGACGTGTTTGAAATACTATTTAAACAGAATGTTCTTCATGCAAACATTAAACAGTAGTGTTACGAAAGTATGTGGATGTGTACATAAAACAAAACATTATTGCATCACAAGTCAAAGAGTGATTATTAAAATATTTGCATAATACCTGTTAACTGTGGCTTTAATAGCCTGAATTAAACTAACATCAGAGGGAAACTTTGTACAAAAGTCGTTTGCTTGGACACCTCTGTCCCATTCGTGTTACTACCGTGAAACAGTTGTGTTTGCATGGCTGTGTTTCGGTTTGAAAGGTGGAATATAGCAGTGAATTTACAGGGTACAGAGGAATAACACCTTACTACTTAGGAATGGCAACGCATGGGGGTATCATGGGCGAACCAGTATATATACTCTGTTATGTCCATAGTACTGCTTATGTCTATAGGCGACGGTTACCACTTTCCATCAGGTGGGCTGTCAGTATTCTAAGTTGCATAAAAAAAAATTGTGGTGGCGCCCGCGTATATTGCAAATGTATATTAGTTCCGAGCCTAATCATCTTCCTAAAGGTTACAATTCGTCATTGTCGCTTGCAATTAGTACAGTCGCCAACATAGTAATTATTAATTTTTAAGTGTGATTTCCACTATGTAATTATCTACTGTTGATTAACCGGAACAAAAAAAGCATATATCCTTCTCTTTTCCAAACACTATATGAATGCTAAATTTTGTAATGGTGGGTGGATTCGTTTAATCAAAAACATAACAATCAAAAAAGGTCACTTTCATGTTTTATAACTAGCTTTTACCCGCCACTTCGTTGGCGTGATCGGGATATGTTATATATGTATATTCACTTACTTTGAATTAAAACTAGCTTACATACGTCCTTCTATATTACATACTAACGGCCCGTCCCGGCGTCGCACGGGTGGACATTTTTAACATTTCCCTTCACTACTTTGCTTCTATTGATCGTAGCGTGATAAAAAGTATACTATAACCTGCCCAGGAGTATGAAGAATAATTTTACAAGTTTCGTTAAAATCCGTCTAGTAGTTTTTGTTTCTATAATGAACATATAGACAGACAGACAAAAGTTTTATTGATTGCATTTTTGGCATCAGTATCGATCACTAATCACCCCCTGATAGTTATTTTGGAAATATATTTCATGTATAGAACTAACCTCTCTACAGATTTATTATAAGTATAGATAGTACGTATATACGAGTATCCAATTTCAGGATATTTAGTGAATCTGTTAAGATGATAAAAGTAACAAACAAATAAAACCCCATCACATTTATAATAGTAGTCAGGACAAGTTACTACTTCTTCTTATTATTAAATTTTACGAAATTCGACGTTAAATATTTATAGTCCAAGAAAATACGTGAGCTGAACTGCAAAAATGGGGAATAGCTTTTAGATGCGTGGACAAATCTCAAATTCGCTTTACTAACTTTCACTTCCACCGGGATTTTGTGAACTTTTTCACTAAGTTTTTTGGATTAATTAGACCCAGCTGAATACGATTCTGATACGATTCCCGGTTTCATCTCTTCTGCCCCTTTCCCTTCTTCGCCTTAAAATATGTCCTATAATTATGTCTATAATACTCCGTATTTTTGTTTTTAATATTTTTTTAAGATAAAAGTAAATAGTCAAAGGCAATTTTTTTTATACCACAAAAGTGTCAAATAAGCATACAGTCCGTCTGATGGTAAACGATTACTGTGAACGCCTATGGATGCCTGCAAATTAATTCCCGTGATGTATTTAACTTTTCATGTAACTTTGCGTTCTCCAAAAATTATATGAAAAAGCACTTGGTAAGCTGGCTTGGTAAGAAGGCTAACTGTTGAGGGAAAGTACTTCTACATTTCTGTTGTTCATCAGAGATTTTAGTAACCTAATATCAAGATATATGCGTATAAAGAAAACAAGGTTGACTGTAAGAGATCCCTTTATGAGATAAGTCCGCCATTGTATATTAAATCATTTATCAGTGCTCAATTTGAATTATGTACAATAAAGATTTTACAGTACAATACAATACAAAACTGAATAGCTAAAATCCACATGTAAATCAAATTTTCTCATTATACATAATACATCCCATTTACTGCACACCATACTCCCAATATAAAGTAGTCAACCCATCTGTTGATAGTGGCAACACTAATGCGTATATGGATTTAAAAGAGAAAAGACCTAATAGCTATTTCAATATAAGTACAATTGATGATAAAATTCAAATTTCCATAGAACAATTAAAATTACAGTCAGGGAAAGCTACGTGCAAACATACCATTTAGCATTCATTGTGAATCGGCAATATCGAGGGTATGCTTGAATAAACAAACAGAAATAACTACTAATTACAAAGCCTTATAATATCGACCTGGTTTTAATTCAGTGTGCCTGTTACTTTTTTTTTATTGAATTTTAATTAGTATATGAAATATTAACTATTCTACAAAAGTAATCCTAAATTTTAATTGTAAAACTAGCTGGATTCACTTACGTATACTTTAGGCAAGAACGCTGGACACTTTTTGAGACCGTCCAAGACCCTTAACCATGAGCGGCCATAGGGCATTTTCAATTAAAATACATGTCAATCCATTTCGTTTTTTCGTTTAAATATAATGTGTCAAAACTTTTAATTACAAAAGTAATCTTGTTTTTATTAAATTTATAAATTACACTTTCTTGCATTTGCACTTTAATTTTTTATTGGCACAGTTTAATAGAATTTTTTTATTTTCCTGCCATAAAACTCGCAAATATCAGACGTCAATTATGATGTCACGACTTTGTAACATGTGTCAAGCGAATGGCATTTCTACTTTATTTTGACAGAAGAAAAATGATATTTATTTAAAAGTGACGTCCAGAGATATTTAATAAGGTCTGTGGTGACGTCATTCGTTCTGATTAGTGCTTCATCTATCATGGCGAATAGCTCTTTTCACGTTTTATTAAAAGAATTACCTAATTAAT